CCAACCCCAACTCAGCAAATGAGGGGTATTTCTGGGGAGAGTTTTTTCTCTTCATTGGCAGGAGTAACATCATTTTAAGGATGGAAACACAATGAAGTGTGATGGTGATGTGATGTGTTTAGCGAGAGGATTTCAAGGCCTTGGTTTCTATGTGCTTTCAGCATGGCGTCACAGTATTATATGGCTAAATCCCGCTGGGATGTACAGAGAAGGAAAGTGTAGATAGACACAAAGAAGTGAAGAAAGGTAAATCATGAATTTGCGTCCTTGATGAAATTGTCCAAGTACTACTGTTGTTTTTGTGTCACATTTCGAAAAATTCAAGAGAAATGAATGGAAACCAGATTTAGCATTGACAGTTTGCCTGTTAATGCTTCTCCACAAAACTGTACTATAGTTTCTAATGACAAATGAAATATATTGAGCTTAGATGGAAACATTAGGTAAGGAAATAGCAAGTTCACAAGTTCAGTGGGTGTTCTGACCAGAAGCGTGTTATTAGCTTTTAAAGGGAAATGAATTATTTTTTGGTTATTTCAGCAGTAGAGAGGATTAACAGAACTTCAAGAAATAGAATAGAAGGAACTGACCGCACTCTCTGCTGGACAGTTTGGTGGTCTGAACTGTCTCACCTTCTGACGCTTGAAAAAAAGCAATTTGTCTCTGTGCTGGGGGGCTAGCTAAAACAAAAACATTGTTATCACGATTAATCAGCGGCTCTGTCATCAGGTCTGAGGTGAACAGAAAGTGGCACAAATGACTGGATGGAATTTGTGGTGTGTCAGATGGAATAAAGCGGCAATAGATGCAATCCTTCTCTCACATTCACTGACATTTCACCCAGCTATTCCAGAGAAAGCTTGTCCTAGTGGGCTTATATGCCCCATCATTCTCTGCAACACAGGCTGCAATGAAATGACTTTCCAGGTCTGTGTAGGTGATGCACTTTGGGATTTTAAAGGTTTTCAGATTCAGCCTTATGAAATGCAACATGTGCCATTGTGCTTTTGTGAATTATAGCATTTTTAAACAAACCTTTTTGGTTTTCAATCAGGCACCTGTGCCCATCTCAGACTGATTCTTTTTTTTTTTTTAGCAGGCAAGCACATACAATTTAACCTCCAATTCAAATTACTAAAAACGTACTCTGTGCATATCATCCCAATTTTAAATTTGAATCTCAGCATTTAACGTGGACAGCAAGCCCTTCTTTGGATAAAGAAAATGCGATGTGATTGAAAACTCCAGAACAGCTACTAAATTGGACCTTGTGGTAAGATGATTTTAGGTCAAGAATAAACTCTGGATCCCATTTTGTCAGTGCTTTCATTGTTTATCTGCAGCGTGGTGCTTTAAAGGCAAAAAAAAAAAGAAAAAGACTTTCCATTCCCAAACTAGAACACATTGTTCCTCATTTTTTTAACATTCCCTTTCTCAAAATATGAGTACTTTATACTGGGCTGAAAAGCACCAAATACAAGAAAAGAGAGGTGAAAGTGACAAAATACATTTTCTCTTGTGCCCCAGTAAAACTTATGATGACTTCTCTAAAGAATAGATAAGACACCCCGAATGTATCTGATGAGACACACATGATAAATTCCAGGATATTAGAGGCAATGCAATAAAAAGTCTGGCTAGTGATTACATGGACATTATTTGAGGCTTCTGGATTTCAGCACTGTAATCATAGTGTAGCCTATTTATAACATCTTGTAACTGACAATCCAGCTCAAACTCTGTGATTTAAAGCAGGTTAACACAGTCTTTTGTCAGCAGACTCCATCCTTTTAGGAGACAGACGTTTGCAACAAAGGCTGCCTCTAACGCCATCTTGCCTGAAGAGGTCATTTGGTCTGATGCCTTTCACTCCATGTAATATAAACTTCCTCACCGCAAGCTGCTCACAAACAGCATAAATAAACAACCGCGGGACAAATCAGGGTTTGGAACTAGTTAGGGCTCACAATTTCAACATGAGAGTTTGTTTGTTCAAATTTGCTCGCACTGTGACCTAACTCCTTTATACTCAGCACATGTGTGGAAGAGGGCATTTGAAGGCGAACATAACAGAGAGGGGGAAAAAGCAGAAAAATCCATATTTTTCCAATATGCAGACGGGGCTGTTCATCAGGCAAAGTTTGACACATGTCTTTGAACAGACTTTGAAACAACAACTTGGTGGAAAAACTTTTAAAAAAATGGAGTAGGAGGCTTTGGCTAAACAAATGTCATTTTTGGACGCTGCTGTAGGGAGGATGAGAAAAGGAAAGATGATGAAAAGAATGAAATGATACATTCCTTAGAATCTAACTCACTGCTTCGCTGTTTCCTGAGCTTGATTAGAGGGATGCAGTGACTCGAGGGTACATTAAGATTAAGATCTCGGCTGTCCAGAGGGAATTAGAAAAAGGAAGCTATATGGGTGCCTTTATCAAATGTGACATTGGTTTTTATAAGAGGGAGTCTCATTACAGCCTATGCTTATACCATACAGCCATCCAACTACAACACTGTTTGCCATGGTTACAAAGGCCACTTTGTAATCAAAAGGTCATCAGTTTGACGGACGTGAGGGCCGATACAAGTTGCTATCGTGAATTAAATATTCCTCTGCTTGATTGTTATTTAGTACAATGCAGTGTATAAAGGCAGTCTCAACCTTTTTTTTTTGTCCCATTACTCTAATGAAATGAGCTCTAGAGTATTGTTCACTTTGACCAAGAAGATGAAACACAAACATATGGGTTTTTAGCATGTCAGTGTTAAAGGTGTTTCATTCAAGAAATGAATTTTAAAAATATTTGCATATTTTTAACTCTCGTTTTTAGTGCTGAATGTTTTTAAATGAAAGTAAAAACTGTATTTTTCATCAGAAGGAAATCAGTTTGGGTTACACGTGATATTCTGCCTGTAAAAACTGGCTTAATTATTGCTTTGTTGCATGTTTCTGTAATATAAATTGCTGGTTTTATTGACTTTTTCACTACTTACTGTTGAGATGTTTGGATTGTCTGTATAGGTTCTCATTCACCTTGGTCACAGTCATCTAAAGCAGCGATCCCCAACCTTTTAACGACCAGTTTATGTCCAACAATATTTTCACAGACCGGCCTTTAAGATATCACGGATAAATACAACAAAATAAAACCAGTATCGATACAAAAAAAAAAAAGAGGATTTATTCATAACACACAGGAAAAGACCCAGGGAAACGGAGTTAAGGAGTAATAAAAACGATTTTAAAAAATAACAGTAAAAACTCTGAAAACCACAAATTTCACACCTGAGCCTCAACTCTCGCGGCCCGTTACCAAACGACTCACAGACTGGGCCGGGGGCTGGGGACCACTGATCTAAAGTGAATGGGAGTCGAGGGCAGTTGAACAATCTGGACGTACTTGTGAGTCACAGGCATGTTGAAACCAGCTTCATTAGGACAACAGTAGAGGTTATATACTACCGATCAGCTTTTAGAACTGAAGAAGCTTTTTGAATGGTGTTCATCAGAACAATAAACTGGACTGGACTCACAACTCAAATGCCCTGTACAGGAAAGGGCAGAACAGGCTGTATCTGCTGTGGAAGCTCAGGTCTTTTGGAGTCAAGGGCCCACTCCTGAAGACCTTCTATGACTCTGTGGTGGCCTTAGCCATATTTCACGGTGTGGTCTGCTGGGGACAGAAAGAGACTGAACAGGCTGATCCGGAGGGCCAGCTCTGGTCTAGGATGCCTTCTGGACCCAGTGGAGAGTGTCAGGAGAATGATGGCTAAGCTGTCATCCCTGTTGGATGCAATCTCCCACCACATGCAGGAGACTGTGACAGCACTGAACAGCTCCTTCAGTGGCAGACTGCGGCACCCATGATGTGGGACAGACAGATTTTGCAGGTCTTTCCTTCCATCGGCTGTCAGACTCCACAACAGAGACTGTGCAGTTGACCAAACACGTGCAGACACACACGCAATACCAATAAGTGTAATTTGTTTTGACAACATAGTATTTTATTCTATTTTATATAGTATGTTATTCTTTTATCTCATTCTATTTCATTGTTTTTCTTAATTTTTGCTGCTGTAACTTTGCATGTCCACTTTCTGCTGTGACACAACAAATTTGGGACTAATAAAGGTTTATCTTATCTCATCTTAAAAGAAGGACTATTGAGGAAGACTATCAAGAAATAAAAACAACAATAAGCCTTCAAAAAGAGAAAATTAATATTAAGATGAACTCAATTCTGCTCAGTATTAATTTTAGCTTTCCGTAAGCTCATTGGTGCGGCCCTCAACAATAATCCTAGCTTCTCATGTGGCCCTTTAGGAAAATTAATTGCCGACCACCGACCACTGCCTTAGACAGATCAGCAGTGTATCATACGGTCAATTTATATAACCACCA